GCCACCGCCATCGTGCCGGGCATCAACTGCCCCGCCGCCGCCGCCTGCTTCTCCGCCCAGCAGCAGGCGGTGTTCAGTGGCTGGGTCAGCGTCCCGGCCGCCACCGCCACCGCCACCTTCTACTTGGCTTCCCACGGCGGCGCCTCGCTGGAAATCGACGGCATGGTGTTTGTGGAAAACGCGGGTGAGAGGCTTGTGGGCGGTGGGAGGTGCGCCAGTGCCACACTTGTCAGGTTTTGTGGTTCACAGCACAGCGGGGGGGGCTGGAGCGCACAGCACTCGCCGGGGTTTTCTTTCTACTGCTGCAGGCGGGACAGGCTGGACCGAAGGCTCCGTCACCGGCAGCTTCTCGGCGGGCTGGCACCAGCTGCGGGTGGAGTACTTTGCCACGTCAGCTCCCGGCGGTGAGCTTTCTTCCCAGCCCGCACAGCTGCCGGTGTCTGCAGCTGCCTGACCCTGCGCCAGCTGAAGCTGCGTTTTGGCACAGCGTACGTTGTGGCAAAGCTGCTGCTGCCGCCGCCCCCCAGGAGTGCTTACATGCCAGCCCCGCCCTTGCAGGCCTGGTGCTCAGCTTCTCGCTGGCTTCCGGCGCCGGCGCCACGCTGGTGCCCAAGCAGCCCATCCCCAGCGCCAGCCTCAGCACGGCGCTGCCGCGGCCGCCGCCGCCGCCCTCCCCGCCGAGCCCGCCGCCCAGGTGGGCCTGCTGCACATGTCCCGCAAGTCTTGCCAGGATTCATAGAAGCTTGCAAGCAGTCTGGTGCGCGCCAGTTTCGATGTCATCACCTGCCGACCGGGTGTCCCATGTTGCTTCCCTCCTGCAGTCCCACGCGTCCACTAAGCCCGCCGCCCTCCCCAGCAACGCCCCCGCCCACCCCTCCACCGCCCTCGCCGCTTCCACCGCCCTCGCCAACTCCGCCCTCTCCGCCGCCGGCCTCTCCTCCCCCTGTGCCACCCCCGCCTCCACCCTCACCCTCCCCGCCCTTCCCACCACCACCGCTGCCACCACCCTCCCCGCCACCACCGCTGCCGCCCTCGGCAGGTGCCCCTCTCGTCGCCTGCTTGCCTCTGCCGGCACGCCTTCCCATCAGTTCCTTTGCATCAACATGATGCTGCCTTGCATGCAGCAGGTATATGCATGCAGCCCCCCTCGCCCAACCCATCCTCCCCGCCAGCCCTGCAGGCACCTGGCAGCAGCTGCCCGGCACCGCCGCCGCCATCGCCCTGTCCCCCTCGGGCCACCTCTGGGCCTGCACCGCGCCCGCGGTGGCCAGCTCCTGCGCCGCATCGGGTGCGCTGGCAGCTCTGGGCGGGGATCGCGGCTGCCGCCGCCCTGCCGGCCTGGCCGAGCCGGGATTTTGGGCGGCGAACCGAGTGCTGCTGCTGCGCCCTGTTTCGTTGTCGCCGCCGGTGCTGCTGCTGCTGCTGCTGCTCACACTTCCGCTCCTGCTCACATGAGCACACTCCCACCATCCTGCTCGCATGAAAACACTCCCGCTCCTGCTGGCACTCCCGCTGTCCCCACGGTGCTGCTCAACACCCGCTCACCTTCACACACGCGCGCGCGCACGCGCACACGCGCGCGCGCACACACACACACACACACTCCTTCACCCCCGCCCCTGCAGCC